AGTACGTACTAATAAAGATTATGTATGTGTGTGTGAGCAATTTTTATAAAAATGTAAAATACAAATTTGATTTTAAAGGCGCATCTTTCACCCTGTACGTAATTTCCATTCCATATCCATGTTGCAAAATTATTCTCTTAATTGCACATGAACTTTCGATTTGTCTCGTTTAACATGTATCATTGACATACCATTTATGATGTAATATTCTTATTAAAACTTGATGACTCGTATTCCGCTTTCTTTTTTTTTTACAGGTTTATAAAAATTAAGGACAATTTGCAATAATATTTGTAATGATGATATGCAGCATAAATATATGTGTGCGCGCGTATAATATCGAATATAATTTTATTATGTCGTTTATTTTTTCTAAATTATTTCTTATGTAAATTGTAACTTTTTTTCTATACAGCATTGATTTATTCGATGTATGTATGGATTAAATTTTACGATAACAGATTGTGACATATGACGTATCTGCGTGCGATAATGATCGCGAAAGTGCCAGTCTATCTCGTCGTGCCACACTTAACACTGTGGTAACTGGAACATAACTGATCTGATCGAATACTTCTTTTTCAGGTGATACCAGAGGAAAATTGGCCTGATGCAAGAATTTACATCAACAAATCTATCTGAAGTCTACAACGACTACGATTATGCTCAAAATTGAGCGTAGCTTTTGTGGGCGAAATTCAAAATTAAAAAATTATATCGTTAACTATAATCTGATGTATAGCATATATGATTGATATATAATATATAATTTAATAAATATAATTAAAATTTGTAAATACTTGTCTTATTGTTTGTACTTAAATATAAAGTTTATTGATTAATTAATAAAAAATAACACATTGCAATCATATGACAAAATTTAATAATATGATGATGTCTAAATAAAGCATATTGTGAATAACATATACTAAGAAATGCACGATTTAAAAAAAAGTGCGTATTAATCCGATAAATATGACTATATGTTAAGAATATATCGCTTTTTGACATTTATGTGATTAAAACACGGTGAAGGATTTCATTTCTTTGTAACAGCTGTATCTTCGATGAATGTTATCTTTTTCAATCCTTTCCAATCCTTTTAATGTTTATATATTTTATTATCCTAGGTGAAATTCTATATTATAAAAAAGTAGATAAAAAATCATGTAATAAAACAATAAAAATAACTAAATGTATTTACAATGTTAAGATTAAAAACAGGACCGTAAAGATATTTAAAGATATTTAAATTGTGAATATGTAAATGTGAATATATAAAAATAATCTTTTTATTTTTTAGTACTGAATAATTTGCTACGAATGTTTTTTTTCTCAGCATTTTATATTTTCAATTGAGGATATCTCAATATTGTGTTATCTAATTAATGAATAATGAATAAACCTTATTTAATTATCAGATAATGGCATACTCATTGATTGATGAATATTTCAATGAATTAATGTATATTAATACTGAATGTTATTTATTCACACATGTTATGAAATTCACAACGAAATTTTCCTGACCTTCTAGGTCTAAATCAAAAGTTATATGATTTATTTCATTGTCAATAATCTTTTTATCCTTTCCAGTTGTCAAACATACAATGATGGCAAATCAACGCATAAAAAATCGTTCGTCTGTCAACTCTGTGATAAGAGCTACATTTGGAAGTATTCTTTGAATCGTCGAGTACGAGAGGAATGTGGTAAGCCACAGTCTGGAATGCAGGTAGAAAGCTGTATAAACAATACAGAAACTTTCAGCAGTATTTTAACAAGTAGCACGTCCATTGGATATTGGAAAATAAAGCGATCTGTGCAAGAAAACAAGGAAAAAGAAGCTTGAAGAGTTAAAATTAATCAATCAAAAAGAAATTGCTACTGGTGATCTATCTAAGCTTGAGAGAATATATTTTTCTTAAAATAATCTCCTTTGAAGAAGATGGAAATACGCATTGAAGAAAAAATACGCAATTGAAGATGAGAAGAAAAGTTCATATCGAAATATGAACCTCACATGTTTATTCGCTTTAAACGAAGTAAAAGAAGAAAATAAGGAAAAATATTATTTTTCTCTTTTTTATTTTGACTTCATAAAATATTATTACCTATAAAAAATATATAACAATATAAAAAATATATCGAATTAATTTTTTAAGAACTCGCTTTCTTATGAATTATTTTTAATATCTTTCATATTTCTTTCATATTTTTACTGGATAAATCTTTGGACCTGAATCTTTTTAAGTTACAATAAATATATATTTTTGCCTAATTCTTTTTTATGACACCTGTAAATCAATCAGAAGATCAATTGTGAAGATATTCGAACAGTCTTTATTACAGAATATAAGAATCATTAATCATTGGTTTTCTGTTCATATCTTTATTTATGTTTTATTAAAAAAAAAAAATTGTATTCCTGAAATTACGATGAAATCGCGAAACTCGGTGTGATTTTCAAGACGTAATTTTCAAGTATCATGAAGTTTAGAAGAAGAAAGAATAATAAATTTTGAAGATTTCGTGAAAGAATTACTCCCATATAGTTTCATGTAACTATTTTTCGCCTTTTTGATAATGGAATTTTATTTCATTGCATTCATTTTATTGACTTGTAATTTTTATGTGTTTTGAGACGAAGAGGAGATTGTAGACGAAAAAATGATAAAGTTAATAATTTACATTTATAAATCTCAAAGAAGTTATTTCTACAGAATATTATAACCAACTTTACCCATAGAGTCACCATGTTTAAACAATACAGAAGTTTTCAGCGGTTTTAACAAGCAGTCCACTGGATATTGGAAGATAAAGATATTGGAAGATAAAGCGATCTATGCAAGAAAACAAGAAAAAAGAAGAATCAAAATTAATCAATCAAAAAAAAAATGTTAAATTGCTACTGGTGATTTATCAAGCTTGAGAGAATATATTTTTCTTAAAATAAGCCTCTCTGAAGAAGAAAATACACATTGAAGAAAAAGTATACAATTGAAGCTGAGAAAAAAAGTTCATATCGAAATATGAATCTCACATGTTTGTTCGCTTTAAACATAAAAGAAGAAAATAAGGAAAATAAATCTTAACCATCATTCTCAAAAAGATGATTGTTTTTCAAGAGTGGATACACTCAGAAAGAACAAAAAAGATGCCTATTTTTATGTTTTTTTTTGCGAAAATTATTAATTTTATTCACATGGAATTTTAATCAATTTCTTACACATATATATTATTACACACATATATTAGTGATATTATATAAAACTTTTAATTAAAAATATTGACAAATAATACCAGCACAACTGTTGGCACCAATAGCGATACCATTGTAACTTTCATACAGTTTATTTATTTGAAACAAAAACCCAACAAATTTCTTAAATACATCTAGTTTTTGTCATAGAAATTTTTGCCATTGTTTTTCTTTTTATAATAAAACATAAACAATTTTTTTACAAAAAAGTGCACTTTTTAAATTCAGAAATCCTTCATTTTGTCAAAATATCTAAAATCAGCAGACAAAAATTAGATATTTTTCAAAAGATTGTTGACTTCTTTGTATCAGATAATTTGTACGAAAGCTACATTATCATAAATCGCTATTGTATGGATAATCTTAGTACCCACAGTTATGACTATTTGTCAACATTTTTAGTAAAAAATTTTATGTAGCGTTCACTAATATTCGTGTAAAATATTAATGAAAACCATGTTTAAGTAAAGTTAATAATTCTCATTAAAAAAATTAATAAAAATAGACATTTTTAACCCTTCTGAGTGTACACATATGTCCCTTACCTTAAATATGTTTTTATTTTCAATAAATCATAGGTTTATTTTATGAAAGTTGAAAAAAGTTATTTGGAAAAGAATTTCATAAATAAAAGCCTAATGATTATGATAATATTGTAGTTATGATATTGTATTATTTATTTCCTCTATCATTTGAAGATTAGTAGGGATGTCTGTAAGAGCAAAGTTCTACATAGAAAAGCATCTGGAAGATTATCAACTTTAATCATCAATTGTTTTGCTATTAATGCAACTTCAATTATATTGTAATAGAAAATTAATGGTAGTACTAACGAAGTGTAAAACTTTTACCGATATTTTTTACATAGAAGAAAAGATGGTATATATAACTGGATAGTATATATAATGTAGATATCTGGCCCTCTCAATACTTTCGTTGTTAGGTGGCAAACTCTAGCGATTATTTATGGAATTATTTATTCAATAAATCATTACACTACAACGTTAATATACCAATATATAGTAGTCATTTTTATTTTTAAGCATTGTTAACTGTTTTTAAGGTTAAGTTAATCAACATTTTAGCATTGTATATATTTCTTCATTCTTCTTAAACTTGAAGATGCTTCACGTACAAATATGTCACGCAAATATATATATATATAT